GCCTGAGTGTGCTCGCTGTACCACGGCATTGGACTATTTTCTTTAATCTTCTTTAAGCGCAACGGAGCAACTGCGTCTAAAGTGCTGGAAAAGAGAGAGTTAAACGTTTCTGTTGCAATATCGAGTTCTTCTAAGCTATCCGGGATGCTGAGATGATGAAACTGATTAGGAAGATTATTGATAAAGCAATCTTTAGTGGCAGAAGTTATAGGTCTAACGTATTTATAACACGGAGTCGGCTTTGCAGCCTTGGCTAAATGTAATTTACATGAGACTAGATAATGATCTGAGATGTCATCGCTCTGCTGCAGAATTTCAACGGCATCAATATCTATTCCATGTGATAATATTAGATCTAGAGTATGATTACGACAATGAGTAGGTCCTGACACGTGTTGTCTAACTCCAATTGAGTTTACAATGTCTTTAAATGCCAATCCCAAAGCATCTTTTTCATTATCTACATGTATATTAAAATCACCAACAATTAGTACTTTATCTGCAGCCAATACTAAATCTGATAGAAAGTCCGCAAATTCTTTGATAAAATCTTTATGGAGCCCTGGTGGCCTGTATACAGTAGCCAGCAGAATTCTCAAATGTGATTTATCGTTTACACTATATATTTTTACATTAAGCACCAATACTTCAAAAGAAGTATATTTAAAGCTACATTTCTTAGTGGTTTTGAAAATATTACTATAAATTACAGCAACACCTCCCCCTTTGCCTTTCAGACGAGGTTCATTTTTATAACTGTAATCTTGTGGGGTTGACTCATTTAAAATAATGTAATCGTTTGGTTTTAGCCAGGTTTCTGTCAAACACAGCATATCAAGATTATAATCTGAAATCATATCATTAACTATGAGAGATTTTGAAGTAAGGGATCGAATATTCAGCAACCCAAGCTTTATCATTTGCTCATCTGTATTATATCTGTTTTTTATTTGTTGAACATCAATTAAATTTTTAACCTGACGTTTTTTGGATTTCCAAATTCGGGGAACAGACACAGTCTCTATATGATGATATCTAGGTGAAAGAGGCTCTATGTGATGGGATTTATCTGACCTTGGTGACGTGAGGCCGCTAGCAGACGGTCGGTTTAGCCAGTCTGTCTGCTTCCTGACCTGAGCCCCAGATTGTCATGTTTTATCTCTAAGACTATGAGCCAAATTACTAGAGAGAAGAGCAGCACCAGCCCAGGAGGGATGAATACCATCTCTTTTCAACAGGTCAGGTTTGCCCCAAAAACTTTTCCAATTGTCTATGAATTTTATATTATTCAGCGGACACCACTTCAACAGCCAACCATTCAGTGAGGCCAATCGGCTAACTATCTCATCACTCCTGCGTACAGGAAGGGGGCCAGAGCAAATTACAGTGCCTGACATCGTACTTGCGAGTTCACACACCTCTTTAATATTAATTTTGGTGATCTCCGACTGGCGGAGTCGAACATCATTAGTGCCGACATGAATAATGATCTTAGAGAATTTACGATTAGCATTAGCCAGCACTTTTAAATTTGCTTTGATGTCAGGCGCTCTGGCTCCCGGCAAACATGTGACTATGGTGGCTGGTGTCTCTATTTTCACGTTCCGTGTGATCGAATCACCAATTACCAGGGCACAATCAACAGAATTCTCAGTGGGTGTTTCACTGAGTGGGGCAAATCGATTTGTTATGGGAATCGGAACGGAAGAGTGGTTCTTTGATCCGCGACTAGAGCGGTGATGTCTCACAGTAACCCATCTGCCCTGCTGCACGGGCTCTACTTCAGCCGGAACTGAATCATGTAAAGAGTTCACTATGCTAGGCGCATCCAAAACACTATCTAAAGCTCTAGCATTCTTACCATCCTCAATTAAAGTTTGGATGCGTGTCTCTAGTTCTGAAATCTTCTCCGTCAGCCTGACTGTCTCCTTGCATTTATCACATATAAATCCTATATTGCCATCGGAGAAGGCTATACTAAACATATGACATGTGACACAGGTGACAATAACAGGACAAGAAGACATTACTCACCGTGTTTGTTAACTGATTTCTTACTTACCTGGACTTTATGAACTCAAAGGCGCGGGCGTGCGAGAGAAAATAAATATATAAATGAGCGCACGGGTGGCGCGTTAGCAGGCTAACGTTAGCGAGTTACTAGCGTGCTGTGTTGAAAATAACGGAAGCTAGAGATGTAAGGTTAATCTGAGATGTTGGGTAAGCTGTATTTAGTAGTATAAACAACTAGATAGTAAATGATGGCTCAAAACATAAAGAAATACGAGGCTCAGGCGGAGCTTACAGCCTCGAAGCAAACAAACACACAGCAGGCAGCGAGGCAGACAGGAGCAATCGAAACTCCTAATGGAGTTTGTACACTCTGTACGGAACTCCATTAGGCCCTGGAGATGATGAAGCCCTTGCCTTTCTCACAGCCTGCTCTACCTCTTTCCACTTAGGTGCACAGACCTCCATTTGGTATTCTGGTGGGTTGATAGGTGGGATGTCTGATGGAATTGACATAGGCTCATGCCTTTTTGCATCTGTATGCGTTTCCTCCAAATATCTCTCTAGCTCAACCCTAGATGCTTTTAAGATGCCATTCTTCTCACTGGTGAATAACTTCTTTACGAATTTGAATGGGTCTTTATAGAAATTAGCCCTCGCACGTTCCTTCTTTTTGTAGCGTTTCCGTAGGCGCTCAGCTCTGCGTAATGTTGCCAGCTTATCTTTTATGGCCCTTTGTAAGAGATTGAGTCCCTCCTTCTGACTTTGTTCTGCTCTTTTCCATTGCTTCCTCAGCTGTCTCCTTTCTCTAACTAAGCCTTCAATTTTCTGCTGCCGTCTAGACATTCCAGGAGTAGTTTGTACTTTTTCCTTCCTTTTTTCCACACCAAACCTCTCACTTCCATATTCGTAAATGATGTCCCCAAATTTATCCAGCTTCTTTTTAACTGTACCAGTTAATCTTTCCAATGCGAAGCATAGATCTGTGTTTACCGTGTCCCATGCAGTTTTCTCACAAGCTCTTGTCCATCTAACTCCAGGCCTATGCCCGTTGAGGTTCTTTTCTCTCTTATGCTGTTTAGTCTGACCGGGTTCACAAGTATGAATTTGTTCATCACTAACTGTGCAAGCCCTCCTCTCCTCTATGACAGGAGTGCTGATATCCTGCGAGCTGTGGTTTGCTTCCTGTCGCTGGATTTCATTCGACTGACTTGACTGACTTTGTAAGAAGTACTGATCAATGAGAGGCCCTTGTCCCTTTTCCCTCAAACATTTCATTTTCCTTGATGAATCTTCAAACCCCTGACCGTTGTCGCCTTGCTCCAGCCACAGACACAAGCTTGGAGTTCAATGACTTTACTAACTGCAGATCTTGAACTTACTCTCCATACTCATATCTGTTTCCATTCCTAAGTCGTTAACCATGTTGACCAACATTGAGTAATCTTCCGCCCCTGCTCTCGCAGACTCTAGGGGTATTTTTCTCTTTAATTTCTCAGAAGCCTTTGGCGGGTGTCTCCAGCATCCTGTAAACACGGAGCTGGATACTGCCGACAAGGGTAGCTAACCCTTACCAGCCCCATTGGGGTCTCTTTCCTCCTGTCAGCTGTCTCTCCAGGCTGTCACAAGGTCTTTCCCTTGTTGCCAGCAGCACTATTCACCGCAGTCACTGGACGTATCCAGATCTTCATGATTTCCATTACACAAGAGTAGATGTTAAACCTCATGCTGATTTGTACTCGGCTTTCGCCAAGCTAAGGACAAACTAAGACGTAGCTTTACAGTAACCTATGCTCCTCTCTCTCCATCCATTTACGCTTCTTTCCAAATGGTGATGTGAATCTCCTTCTGTCCGGCGTTAACGGCTGCTGTGTACTTGGCGCGTCAGTACACACAACGGCTGCAACTACAGTGTGGTATCCCCAGTGGACCAGCACGACAACCGTCTGGATTGAGCCGAGTAGGGGACATCTCTAGGGTCTTCAAGTGGGCACCTTCCGTCCTCAGTGTTTCTTCGACTAGCCCACGACACCTCAAGAGGGCTCGACAGTGACTCTGGCGTCCCAGAGTCACCCCCTCCGTCCCCCACTCAACTCAGCCCAGCTTACTGACCTCTACATCCCTCCTGCTGCTGAGACCTAACCACAATCTCACAATCTCTCCGCAACCCAACCATACGCGCCAACCCGTTTGACTAAGGCTGTCGAGCCCCACTGGTGCGTTAATGCAGTTTCAGTGGCAACGGTTCCGTATGGCATACATAATAGTTCTTGCTAAAGAAACATGGGATTTGTGCCTATAATGTTTTTAAAAAAAGGAAGATAAATTTACCTCATTCATGGAATGTTTCAAGGACATATAATCAATTTATAAAAAGGCATCAAATTATCATAATATTTTATAACAGTTGTCTACTTTCTACCATTACATCAGGGCTCACTTTCATGTCCTTTCACTATATATTTCTCTCTTTGAATTATTTTAATGTTCTGAAAATTAAATGTAATATTTTTTCTTTCATGTCAGACCTGATGGAAGAGAGCGAGGCGAGTGAGGAACTGAGTGAAGTGAAGGAGGAGAGAGAAGAACTGAGTGAAGTGATGGAGGAGAGAGAAGATCTGAGTGAAGTGAAGGAGGAGAGAGAAGAACTGAGTGAAGTGAAGGAGGAGAGAGAAGAACTGAGTGGAGTGAAGGAGGAGAGTGAAGAACTGAGTGAAGTGAAGGAGGAGAGAGAAGAACTGAGTGAAGTGAAGGAGGAGAGAGAAGAACTGAGTGAAGTGGAGGAGGAGAGAGAAGAACTGAGTGAAGTGAAGGAGGAGAGAGAAGAACTGAGTGAAGTGGAGGAGGAACATCATGTCAAACCTGGAGAAAAACCTTTGAGTCGCTCAAAGACTAAAAATACATTTTTAAAGAAAAGAAGAGCCAAGAAATCTTTCACCTGCACTCAGTGTGGAAACAGTCTCACAAGCAAACAACATCTTGAGATTCACATGAGGATCCACACCGGAGAGAAGCCATTCTCATGTGATCAGTGTGGGAAGAGTTTCAGTCAATCATCATCCCTTAATGTTCACATGAGGATCCACACCGGAGAAAAGCTGTTCACATGTGATCAGTGCGGCAAAACATTTCTTAGGTCATCACACCTGAAGACACACCTGAGAGTTCATACGAAGGAGAAGCCACATTCATGTTCTGTGTGTGGAAAGAGTTTTTCACAGCGGCAACATTTACATGCACATGAGAGAACTCACACTGGTGTGAGAGAGTACATGTGCTTTGAGTGTGAGAAGACTTTTACTTCAGCAAACATTTTAAAACAGCACCAGAGAATTCACACTGGAGAAAAACCTTACAAGTGTTCACACTGCGACAAGAGATTCATTGTGTCGGCAGATCTGAAAAAACATGAGAGGATCCACACTGGAGAAAAACCTTACAAGTGTTCACACTGTGACAAGAGATTCAGTCAGTCATCAACTCTGAAAACACATGAGAGGATCCACACTAGAGAACAACCTTACAAGTGTTCACACTGTGACAAGAGATTCATTGTGTCGGCAGATCTGAAAAAACATGAGAGGATCCACACTAGAGAAAAACCTTACAAGTGTTCACACTGTGACAAGAGATTCAGTCAGTCATCATCTCTGAGAACACATGAGAGGATCCACACTGGAGAGAAGCCGCACACGTGTGATCAGTGCGGGACGAGTTTCTCTTTAAAAACTCACCTGAAGCTACACATGAAGATCCATACACAGGGTTTCCGCGGGGCATTAAAAAGCATTAAAAGTCCTTAAATGGATTTTGCAAAAATAAAGGGCCTTAAATGGGATTAAAAAGCATTAAATTTGATCCCTACACGGCATTAAACATTTTGAAAGTTTTGAAGAGAATTTGATATCAATTTACAGCGTTTGCCTCGAATGTGACTTTGCAGGCGGAGGCGCTCGGTGTCTGAACACTCAGACCTGCCAACCTTACGCATTTTGTGTAACGGGTACTCATTTTGACCTTAAAGGGATAGTTCACCCAAAAATGAAAATGATGTCATTAATGACTCACCCTCATGTTGTCCCAAGCCCGTACGACCTCCGATCATCTTCGGGACACAGTTTAAGATATTTTAGATTTAGTACAAGAGCTTTCTGTCCCTCCATTGAAAATGTATGTATGGTATACTGTCCTTGTCCAAGCTAATAAAGGCATCATCAAAGTAGTCCATGTAGTCCAGAATTTTTGTTATTTTTGGACCAAAATTTATTTTCGATGCTTCAAAAAATTCTAACCCACTGAAGTCACATGGAGTACTTTTTCTGAGTTGTTCCAGGAAATATATATACAGGTCCTTCTCAAAAAATTAGCATATTGTGATAAAGTTCATTATTTCCCATTATGTAATGATAAAAATTAAACTTTCATATATTTTAGATTCATTGCACACCAACTGAAATATTTCAGGTCTTTTATTGTTTTAATACTGATGATTTTGGCATACAGCTCATGAAAACCTAAAATTCCTGTCTCAAAAAATTAGCATATTTCATCCGACCAAGTGTTTTTAATACAAAAAAAAAAAGTCAACCTTCAAATAATTATGTTCAGTTATGCACTCAATAGTCAATACTTGGTCGGGAATCCTTTTGCAGAAATGACTGCTTCAATGCGGCGTGGCATGGAGGCAATCAGCCTGTGGCACTGCTGAGGTGTTATGGAGGCCCAGGATGCTTCGATAGCGGCCTTAAGCTCATCCAGAGTGTTGGGTCTTGCGTCTCTCAACTTTCTCTTCACAATATCCCACAGATTCTCTATGGGGTTCAGGTCAGGAGAGTTGGCAGGCCAATTGAGCACAGTAATACCATGGTCAGTAAACCATTTACCAGTGGTTTTGGCACTGTGAGCAGGTGCCAGGTCGTGCTGAAAAATGAAATCTTCATCTCCATAAAGCTTTTCAGCAGATGGAAGCATGAAGTGCTCCAAAATCTCCTGATAGCTAGCTGCATTGACCCTGCCCTTGATAAAACACAGTGCACCAACACCAGCAGCTGACATGGCACCCCAGACCATCACTGACTGTGGGTACTTGACACTGGACTTCAGGCATTTTGGCATTTCCTTCTCCCCAGTCTTCCTCCAGACTCTGGCACCTTGATTTCCGAATGACATGCAAAACTGAGCAACAGTCCAGTGCTGCTTCTCTGTAGCCCAGGTCAGGCGCTTCTGCCGCTGTTTCTGGTTCAAAAGTGGCTTGACCTGGGGAATGCGGCACCTGTAGCCCATGTCCTGCACACGCCTGTGCACGGTGGCTCTGGATGTTTCTACTCCAGACTCAGTCCACTGCTTCCACAGGTCCCCCAAGGTCTGGAATCGGTCCTTCTCCACAATCTTCCTCAGGGTCCGGTCACCTCTTCTCGTTGTGCAGCGTTTTTTGCCACACTTTTTCCTTCCCACAGACTTCCCACTGAGGTGCCTTGATACAGCACTCTGGGAACAGCCTATTTGTTCAGAAATTTCTTTCTGTCTTACCCTCTTGCTTGAGGGTGTCAATGATGGCCTTCTGGACAGCAGTCAGGTCGGCAGTCTTACCCATGATTGCGGTTTTGAGTAATGAAACAGGCTGGGAGTTTTTAAAAGCCTCAGGAATCTTTTGCAGGTGTTTAGAGTTAATTAGTTGATTCAGATGATTAGGTTAATAGCTCGTTTAGAGACACTTTTCATGATATGCTAATTTTTTGAGACAGGAATTTTGGGTTTTCATGAGCTGTATGCCAAAATCATCAGTATTAAAACAATAATAGACCTGTAATATTTCAGTTGGTGTGCAATGAATCTAAAATATATGAAAGTTTAATTTTTATCATTACATTATGGAAAATAATGAACTTTATCACAACATGCTAATTTTTTGAGAAGGATCTGTGTATATACATATATATATATATATATATATATATATATATATATATATAATATCCGTGGTTAGTCATGGGTCGTGTATGGCATTACAAATTTAAAAATGTCATTAAAGAGGCATTAAATTTCATTTGAAGATACCTGTAGAAACCCGGATACAGTGGAGAAACCACTTAAATACAATCTGATATCACAGTAAGTAGTTTATTTTCATGTGCTGAGCAACAAAGTATCTTCTGTGTAACTGTGGGATTACAAATTTAAGAATCTGTTTAAGATCTGCTGATCTCATGTCCTAACATAACATGAAAAATAACTACGGTAGAGTAAATTGAATTTAGCATTTAAGGTTATGATGATGATTTTAAGAGATTCCCACCAGCCCTGTTCTCTCTATTGTAAGTTAAATGAGTAAGATTACTGAAACTCTCACCCTTTGTCTGTAATGGCTCTTGGAGCCCCTGGCCCAGTCTTTGAATAGTCAGGCTGATTGGATTAGCATGTATGCATCTGAATGACACTGTTAAGGTGATGAGATCAGGGATGGGACTCCTGTACTTCATTTACATGCTTTGTTCAGAGTGTCTCCATCTCCGTGTAATCCCTCCCCCGTTGAAAGGTATTAACTCTACAATGTACACTGCCCAAGTCAGACTTGATGACTGCAGCCACCAACAGCTTGTGTTCTCAATAAAGAGTAACTTCTGCTTGAACGATATCCCAACGTCTCCTGAGGGTTGTTCCGTAAAACAAGATTAGAAAATAAGCCAGGCTTATTTTGGTTAGTCAGACTTATTGTCGGTGAATTCTGTTTCATAAAGCAAACTTAAAATAGTTCAAACTCAGTTACCCTGGAAACTTATGCTGGGAAACTAGCCTGGTCCGGGGCAGGCTAACTGTCAGGCTAAGCCTGAAATGATGCTTAACCAGAATACTGTTTTAACACTGACCCACTGGGAATGTGATGATATTACTTCGGACTCTCTGGCATGCTGCCATTTTATTTCATGTAACCACTACCAGTCCAACAATGAAAACAAATGCACTTTAAAAATAAATGTAATACATCCGAATATACAAAAAGTGAAACAAATGTAAAGAAGTAAAGGTAGGCCTATTTGTTTAGTTGGTATGATTTTTGTAATGAATCAAGTGAACAGAAAAACCTCTTACAGATCGATTGCTCCTGTCTGCCTTCCTGATCGATTTCTCCTGTCTGCCTTCCTGCCTGCGTAAGTCTGTTTGCTTCGAGGCTGTAAGCCTCGTATTAGCTTCTTTCTGTTTTGAACCATCATTTACTTTCATTTCTAGTTGTTTATTGTGTCTTTCTTTTCCTTGTGCTTCAAGGTTTGGCAAGATTCTCTCACTCACTGAGTTCTGCAAGCGAAGTGGAGGCGTGTCCTTCATCATGCAGCCAATCAGATGAGCTTTACTCTGATCTGATTGGTTAAATAAACACGCCAGTCACCAGAACACATCTTTATCTTCATCTGGCTCGACCGTGGCTCTGGGCGGGTCAAGGAGTTCTTATTGAATAGGACAATACAAGTTAGGATTGGGACAACATATTCACAAATATATTCTATAGAAGATGGAACTCCCCAAGGTAGCGCTTGTAGTCCAATACTTTTTAACATTAATGATATTTATACACAAATTGACACAGGAATAGGGAGGTCACTGTACGCAGATGATGGTGCACTATGGAAAAGGGGAAGAAATGAAATATTTGCAGTAAATAAGGTAGAAAACAGTGGGGTTTCCGGTTCTCAATTGCAAAAAAAACGCAGGTAATTTGTTTCACAAACAGGAGAAAAAACATTAAGAGTAAGTATACACATGTATGGTCATGAATTGGAACAAGTTAAAATGATTTTTAGGTATGTGGATGGACTCTAGATGTAAAAAAGGCATAAATGTAATGAGGAGCTTGGCCAGGGTTGAGTGGGTTCTTTAAGAAGAATAGCTCATTAATAAGACCGGCAATAGATGCTGGTAGTCTGATATACAGCTCTGCATCAGAGACATGGCTCAGAAAGATGGAGGTAACTCAGACTGAGCTCTACGCATCAGCTGTGGAGCATCAGAACATCTCCAGTGCATCTATTCAAGTAGACATGGCAGAAACACCACTTGAAGTTCGTAGGAGAAAGTTAAGAATGAGATACTGGATCAGTGTAAAAGGACATGAGGAAAGACATCTAGTTAAAAAGGTACTGGAAAACTGTTGGGAGTATGATTATGGAATATAGTTGCGGCTGGGTAGCAGATAAGGGAACGGGTGTAACCCAGACAGAAGACTCCAATCCAGTAGGTGGCAGACAATGCACCTTTAGTTGGTTTGGCAACCACCATATAAACAACAGAAGAAGAAGAAGAAGGCGGCTCTTGCTGGGCTAACCCAATACAAGGAGGTAATCCACCAGCCGGAAACTGAAGTCTCCCCGCGGGCCGCCATTGGCTAGCAAGCCTTCTCCTGCTGTTAGCATTCCATTGACTCACATTCATTTTGGCGTCACTTTGACAGCGAATAACTTTACATCTGAGGCGTTTAAAGGCTCCATTTGTCCATTGTTTATTTCTAAAGAAACATGACGATGTATAAAAGGCTCCATTACCTTGCATCTTACGTTATGGCCCCGTAGAAGCCGTTTTTAGGCTAACGATCGCGTCATAACACGCGACTCTCTGTCGCACAGTAGAGAAATTACCGTATAGACAGAAGTAGAAGCTCATGACAATCGGGGGGACGTGGAGGCATAAAGTCCAGGGAGAAGCCCATAGAGAGTCCCCGTTCACACCGCAAGTCTTAAAGGGGTCATATAATGGTACATGCACTTTTACAAGTTGATTGTACTGAAATGTGTGTTGGCAGTGCCTGTACACA